TGCTTTTTCTGCATCATTTCAGATGACTACGTGGTTTTTTTCCCCTTCATTTTATTGACATGGCATATTATACTGATTGTCTTATGTTGAACCATCCTTGCATCCCAAGAATAAAGCCTACCTGACCATGATGTATAGTCCTTTTAATATGCTATTCATTAGTATTTTGTTGAAGATTTTTGCATCAATGTGTATAAGGGATATTCATCTGTAGTTCTCTTGTAGTGTCTTTTCTGGCTTTGGTGTTAGGGTTATGGTGGCTCATAGAATGCATTAGGAAGTATTCTTTCCTCTTCAAGTTTTTGCAAAGTTTGAAAAGATGTGGTATTAGTTCTCTCAATGTTTGGTAGAAGTCACCAGTAAAACCATCAGCTCCAGGAGTTTTCTTTTTGGGAGATTCTTTTTTTTTTTTATTACTGATTCAATCTCCTTACTAGTTATAGGTCTTATTCAGATTTTCTAGTCTTCATGATTTTGTCTCAGTAGGTTTGTGTTTCTAGGAATTTGTCCATTTCATCTAGGTTATCCAATTTGTTGGCACACGATTGTTCATAATTATAATCCTTTTTATTTTATTATTTTTAGATATACATATTATTTATTAGAAGAGGGAACAATGTCACTTTATTATTTTTTAGATATATAGTATATATTATTATTTATTAGAATAGGTAGTAATGTCACTTTCATTTCTGATTTAGTAATTTGAGTCTTCTCTCTTCTTTATAGTCCATCTAGCTAAAGGTTGGTCCATTTTGTTAAACTTTTTGAAGAAACAATTTTTGGTTTCATTGATATTCTCTATTGTCTTTCTATGTCTGTTTCATTGATCTCTGCCTTTTTTTTTTTTTTTTTTTAAATCCATGGTCTAGAGTGAAGGGAAAAAGAAAGACCCAAAAAGGAAGAAACAGCTTGGTCTTTCTTGTTCGGGTTTCAGCTTCCCTGTGAAGTGAGAGGCCTTCCTGCACCCTCCGATTCAATATCGCATTGTTCTCTCTCACTACTCTCTCTTGTTCTAGTCATAGTGAATAGTCTCACTCGTCTAAGTTGTTTATTGTTCGACTTTCTCACAAGATGGTAAGTTTCAAAACAGCAGGGAGCTGTATATCTAGTCCCCAGAATAATGTGTGGTATATCTTAGGCACTCAAAAATATTGCTGAATGAAGGAATTAAATCAACAACAAAAAGGAAATGAAAAGAAGGAGGGAGTAAATAGTGGCCCATATAAAAAAGGACAGGAATAGAGAATAAAGCACTGACTCAGATGTCACTCAAGGTGACAAACCCTCAGCTCCCTCAGAAATTGTTACCTACCACACAGTTCAAAAAGAATGTTTTGAAAGAACTGTGCTTCCTATGTATTCTACATATTGCAAAAGCTTGTTAGAAAGTCAAAACATCAATTGCATTTTACATATACTGCTATTTCAACTGAAAAGGGGAAGAAAAAACACAACACTTTTTGTTTTTAGATTTTTTTGGTTTTTGGGTATTTTTCTTTTTTAACGTAAGCATTTTTATCTACAAATTTCCCCAGTACTGCTTTTGCTGCATCATGTGTTTTGGTATATTGTGTCTTCATTTTCATTCACCTCTAAGTATTTTCTAATTTCCCTTGTGATTCCTTCTTTGATCCACTGGTTATTTAAAAGCATGCTGTTTAGGGGTACCTGGGTGGCTTAGTCAGTTAAGCTTCTGAGTCTTGATCTTAGCTCAGGTCTTGATTTCAGGGTCGTAAGTTCAAGCCCCACATCAGGCTCCATGCTCAGTGGGGAGTGTGCTTGAAGATTCTCTCCCTCTGAACCTCCCCCCACTTGCATGCTCTCTAAAATAAATAAATCTTTTAAAAAATGCAAAGCATGCTGTTTTAACTTCCACAATTTTGTGAATTTTCCACTTTTACGTTATTGGTTTCTAACTTCATCCCATTGTGGTCAGAGAAGATACTTTGTATATCTTTTATAATCTACTGAGATTTAATTTGTGGCCTCACATATGGCCTATCCTGGCAAATGACCCAAGTGCCCTTGAGAAGAGCATTATGTGCCACTGTTGTTGGGCAGAGTGCTCTGTGCATATCTGTTGGATCTGGCTGGTTTATTGTTTGGCCCTCTATTTCTTTATCTTCTGTCTGGTTCTATTCATTGTTGAGTAGAGGGTATTGCAATCTATTATTATAGAAAGGTCTGTTCATCCCTTCAATTCCTTTTTTTTTGCTTCATATATTTTGATGGTCTGTCATTAGGTGTGTAAATGTTTATCACTGTCATATCTTCTTGCCATATTGAGCTTTTTATTAATAATATACCATCCTTCTTTCTCTCTTGCAACCTTTTGTAATTCAAAATTGATTTTACTTGGGGCGCCCGGTGGCTCAGTCATTAAGCGTCTGCCTTCGGCTCAGGTCATGATCCCAGGGTCCTGGGATCGAGTCCCACATCGGGCTCCCTGCTCAGCAGGAAGCCTGCTTCTCCCTCTTCCACTCTCCCTGCTTGTGTTCCCTCTCTCGCTCTCTGTCAAAGAAATAAAATCTTTTTAAAAAAATTGATTTTACTTGATATTAGTATAACCACTCCTGCTCTCGTTTATTTGCATCGAATATCTTTTCCATCCTTTCACTTTCAACTGTGTTTTTGTTATTATTATTATTATTTTTGGATCTCAAATGAGTCTCTTGTAAAAGGCATTTAATTGGATCATGTGTTTTTATCTATTCTAACCTCTTTTGATTGGTTTAATCCATTTACCCTGATTACTAACAAGGAGGGCTAACTTCTGTCACTGTGCTATTTTCTATGCATGCTTTTTTGCTCATTTCCAACACTCCTGTCTTCTTTCAGTGTCGATTTTTTGTAGTGAAATGTTCAAATTCCTTTTTAATTTCCATTTGTGTATAGGCTATAGCTATTTTCTCTGTGGTTACCCTGGGGACTATATTTAACATCCTAAAGTTAGAGTGCTCTAATCTTAATTTATAGCAGATTAACTTCAATAACATACAAACACTCAACTCCTTTCCCACTCTTCTGTTGCTGATGTCACAAATCTACATCTTTATACATTGTGTGCCCCAAAACATAAACTAATAATGCTTCTAAGTACATTAGTTTCCTACATTATGTTGAAAACAAGATCTGGAGTTACAAGCTGAAGTTAAAATAATACTGACTTTTACACTACTTTTTCTTTAAATGTGCTTCCTAAATCGTGTAGGAACAAAGAGTAGTTACAAATAATTGCTATAATTCTAGCTTTTATAATTGCCCAGGATCTACATTTATTGAGATCTTTATTTCTCCACATGGCTTTGAGGTGCTGATGGTGTCCTGTCATTTCACCTTGCAGGACTCCTGTGAGCATTTCTTGCAGGGCAGGGCTACTGGTCACAAACTGCCCCCTCTTTTATCTGGGAATGTCTTGATTTCCCCCGACTTTTGAACAGTTTTGCTGGATACAGGATTCTTCGTTGACAGGGTTGGGGTTTTTGTTTTTTAGTTTTTTTGGTTTTGTTTTTTTGTTTTTGCTTTAGCACTTTACGTATGTTGGCATGCTGTTCTCTGGCCTCCCACACTTCTGATGAGAAATCTGTATGTATTCTTACTGAAGATCTCCAGTGAGTGATCATTTGCTTCTCTCTTGTTGCTTTCAAGAGATTTGCTTCTCTCTTGTTTGCTCTTCATCTTTTGAAAGTTTGATTAGAACGTTTTCAGTGTGGCTCTTTCTGAGTTCATTCCACTTGGGAGTTTTTGAGCTTCTTGTATATTTATGTTCCTATCTTTCATCAAATTTGGTTAGTTTTCAGCCATCCTTTCTTCAAATGTTCTCTGCCCCTTTCTCTCCTGGGACTCCTGCAATGTGTATGTTGATCCGTTTGATGGTGTCCCATAGTTCTCTTAGGTTCTGTCCACTCTCTTCAACTTTTCTGTTAGGCCTCAATGATGTCCACTGTTTTATCTTCAAGTTCACTGATTCTTCTACCTGCTCAAATCAGCCTTTGAGTCACTCTCATGAATTCTTCATTTCAGTTGTAGTTTTCAGCTCTGGAACTGTTTTTCCTTTAGGTTTTGTTTCTTTATATTTCCATTTTGTTCTTACATTTTCTTGGCTTTCTTCACATCTTCCTTTAGTTCTGTGAGCATCTTTAAGACAGTTGTTTTAAAGTCTTTGTTTAGTGTATCTACCATTAAGTCTTTTTCAGGGACAGATTCTGTTGATATTTTTTTCCTTTGAACGGGACATATTTTCCTTTTTCTTTGTTTGCCTTGTGATTTTCTGTTAACACTGGACATTTAAATCTAATAATGTGATAACTGAAAATCAGATACTCCCCCTTCCCCAAGGTTCCGGTTTTTGTCTTTTTTATTTTTATGGTTGTAGGCTTTCTCTTTGTCAAGGATCAGACTGAGGTATAATCCTACTTTTTTCTCAGGTCTTTTCTGAGCCTTTTCTTGGGCATGCACAGTTTCTTATATCCCCTGTATATGCACTTGTTTTTGAATGCCCTTGTTCTTTGTCCTGTATTTCCTGAAAGAGGAAACACACACACACACAGCTGAAGGAGGGGTAAGGGCACTGGACCATTAAGTCTCCTGGCAGCCAGAGGGGTAAGGGCTTGCAACAGTGACTGCCAGGCTCTTTGCACCACTGCGATCGGAAGCAACAACCAGTGATCAGAGCACAGATTCCCCCATAGCTGTAGTCTAGGCTCCTTTTCACCCACCATAGCTCCCATATGGTATATGCAGCCCCATCCAGGAACACCTGCACACCTGCTGTGTGGCTGGGGGCAGGGGATGGGTAGTGCTACTGTGCTCCAAGCTGAAATTGATCAAAAGTAACCACAATATACAGTCCAAGTCTTCTAGAATTTGCAAGCCTTTAACAGACCCCAGAGTTTCAAAACAGTTCCATCATAGGTGTTATTTTAGCCATAATATTTTCTGTGACTGATCCCATGGAAATTCTAGGTTATCAAACCAACAAAACCTTGTAGTCAACAGTTTATAAAAATACATCTTTATTGTGTTTCAATGTTCCTGCATGATAGACACCTAGTCATATAAACTTAGTTTCCATGTTAAATATAAATTAAGCAAACACACCAAAAAAAAGTATAAACAAATCAGCAAATCTGCTGGAAAAATCCCTCCAAGCCATGAATCCTTATTAAAAGTGCATGCTGGGATGATGAAACTGTCTTAAATCACCATACTCTGAAAACTGTTACCTGTAGCCAAATCTAAATGTTTAAAGAAGCAATAAAGGGCAAAGTGACATGGAATAAAACCATGGTGGGTTTCTCAACTCCACATCCAGTGAGTTAGGCAAGTCAAATGGCTCCATCTGACATTTCAGCAAAGTATCATCTTTGTGTAAAAAAAAGGTCAGGGGCCTGTCCTCAAGCTACAGGGAAATGTCAAAGCAATCATAGGAGAGCATGGCCAGAAGACTTTGTAGTCACATGGTTCCAGAACATGAATCCCAAAGGGCCCAAAATTGAGGAAACATCTATTCCACCCCAAAAGCCATTCCCAGAGCTCAAAACCAGATTACTAACGATGACTAAGGATCAGCACATGTCCTGAAAATTCACAACCGTAGCAAAACATACAACATATATAAACATATATAAAACCTGGAAAAGTATGAGTATCAGAATAGAAAGGTTCAAACATGAACCTTGAGAGGTTTGTTATTGTGGCCAAAATACCCAAGTTGGGACTGACCTGACATGTTTTTCCTATAAATTTTGAGTCTAAATCCTTGAGAGACATAAGGTGCATGTCCTCCTCAGTCTTCTCTCACAGGGTGCTCAAACACAGGGGACCTACTGTCCCACGTCTCCCACGGCCCTCTTTAGGGCTAGAGCAATTCAAACAGCTTGTGGAATGGTGCCGAAAACTATACCAGGTCCAAATCCCACACGGAGGGCAAGGTTCAGCCCCGAGGGTCTCCACTGCTTGCGAGGAAAGAACTCCGTGCCGGCAGGTCAGAAACAAAAGTGGTGTGAGAGTGCCGTCAGAGAGCCATCCTTGAGTTCAGCGGCGGGGATGGTCATCACTTCTGTGAAGGCGAGCCCGGGCTCACGTTCCCACAAGTGGCGTCAATTACGAGGCTCTGAGGCTGTGGGGCTGCGGACCGTGGACATGAGGTGGGACTTGTAGGTTTTGCTCAGGCCCGTCATCCAGAACTTGAGCAGCTTGACATTGTCCTCTTCAGATGCTCCGAGGATACTCAGGAGCTTTTGCGTGTCCTCTTTGGGCCGACTGTCCACCTTGGTGAATTTGAAAAGGACCTTCACTTTGCTGAAGGAAACCAAAAACACAATGCTCAGACACCACAGCAAAATCACACCGCGGTTCAGGGCCCGAGGCCTAACGGCTTCATGACCAGCACACAGAGTGGCAGCTCTCAGCTGCACACTCCAGGACCTCTCCCCGGCCCAGCAGTTCTAACCCTGCGTAGTGAGGCCGCTGCCTCAAAATGGGGGGAAAAGCCCATTTTCTTTTAAATTCATTAAAGGAATTTGTGGCTCCTTAGCTTCATTGTGTTATTGGAAATCAGGACAATGTCTAACTGAATTTGACAAAAAAATTACTAAGGGAAACTTACTAAGGAACTAACTAGTTAGCTTTAACGGAAAAGAAACATCTGTTACCTGGCTTTCGGATTTTTTTTTTTTAAAGTATTTACTTGAGAGAGACAGAAAGACAGAGGGAGCACGAGTGGGGAGGTGGGGATGAGGCAGAGGGAGAAGCAGGTCCCCGCTGAGCAGGGAGCCTGACTCGGGACTCAATCCCAGGACCCTGAGATTATGACCTGAGCCAAAGGAAGATGTTTAACCGGCTGAGCCCCCCAGATGCCCCTGGCTTTCAGATTTTTAAAGTTATTTAAGCAGCAAAAGTAACTGCTTCTCTTGGAGGCAGGTGTCACCGCCATCTCACAGAGGAGCATCGTGAGGACTAGGAGTGCCAACCTTGCTTAAGGTCACCCAGCTAAGAGACTAAATGGCAAAGATGCTATTTGAACCCATGCTCTTAATCTCTATTCTACCCCACTTCTCAGGGAGGCCACAACTTTTTCTGAAAATAGCTCCTGGTTCTTGCCAGCAGAACGTAACCGCTACTGGCTGCCCAGCACCCCCGTGAGAAAGCAGACTCCAGGGGCCAACGCGAGGTGTGCTTACTTCATCCACTCTTCCTTAAGGCAGACGAGGCACTGGTCCACCACACCCACAGACAGATTCTGGTTGGTCAGAGCTGCTTCCATCTTATTCAGGATGGTGGGGCCAACTGGGAACAAGGGTGGGTTGTCAGCATGGGCGAGCGAGAGGCAGCCTCAGCGTTCTTCTCCCCACTCACCGTGGTGAGAGGGAGGCCGGCTCGGCAGCACCCACCTCGGTCCGCAGCTACAGGACTTCCGCTGGTCACAACAAACTCGTACTTGCTGAGGGACTGGTCATCCTCGCACCTGGCTGGGTGGAGGCTGGAGCGAGGAGCTGAATGGGCCTCCACGACGACAGCAAATTCTGCAGCAGCACAAAATGCACTGCGGTGGGAGGCGAGCCTCTGCCCCCAGGGAGCCTACTTCCCGCCGCCACCGCTCCTAAGTCATCTCGGATCTAAGAGCGGAAAGCCGCCTCCCTGACTAATGCTTGGCCACTGAAAACCTTCTGCGGTGTATTTGTTAGCAAAGTTAAGGGTTACCTCTTGCCTCAGTTAATGTGTTATATTCCAGTAACTACTAATTATGTATCTGAATTCACTTAATGCCAAACAGCCCTGTGACGATGGTCCCAATGTTAGTCCCATTTTATGACAAGGGAAGAGATTCAAAGAAGCTAAGTGGTTTGGCTCGAGGTCATACTGCCAGGAGTGGTTAAGAATTTCAAGCTCATCTTTGAAAACAGGAGCCTGTGTTCCAAAAACAAGGTGCTGCCTCTCAGGGACTCAGGACCCAGCCTGGGATGCTGAACGGAATGGCAGCTCAGGACTGCTGAGCACCAAATGCCCCGCTGACTGGGCTTCCGGCCATCTCTCAGGGTGCTCAGAGAGGCCGCTGGCTTGCCCGTGGAGGCTGGGATTTCTACCCAAGCGGACTCCTGAGCTCCTCAAACCAAAGACAAGGATGCTGATTAGATTCCTGGCTCTCAGCCCAGAGGAGTGAGCCTGTCTGTGCTGAGGGCAGAGCCAGGCCCCACTGTACTAGTGAATGTCAAGGCTGGATTTAAGGCATAGACAGGAAAAGAGTTGCCTCCTGAATCTTGTTGGCATAACAGCATGACAAACCTCTGACATCCATCTGTGTTGTTTCCACTCCCATGACTGTAACCTGCCCTCCACCAAGAACCACGCCCAGCAAGCCACCCTCACTCTGAGGCTGTCCTGTCCAACCCTCACCCATTTCAAAGCCACTGGGAAAGCTGGTCCTCCTGCTTTTGAGCAGGCAGTATCCCCACAGGCAGTATCCTCAGATCCACAGCTAAGATGCAGTTCCACTTCTGAGCCCTGAGGATCAGGACCTTGGCTCAGAGAGGAGAGGGATGTACCTGAGGCCAGCACGTGGGAGGGGATCTGCACGTGTGGGCTGAGCCCCAGGAAGTTGCAGCGGTAGGCCTCCTCATACTGGTTGCTGTAAGGGATGATGCGGACACAGCCCACTGGCAGCATCGTCTAGAGAGGACACAGTGACTCGGATCTGATGCTCGCTGGAACATGCCCTGCCCGTCGCCATCACCCACCCGCCATGTGCCCTCCACCGTCAGGTCTAAAGCCTCCCTCCTCCCAGAAGGCGTTCCTGGTCACTTGGCCCCACTGGGGTGTCTCCTGCATGGCCCCAACTCCTAATCCAGCAGTCAGTCATACAGGATTTGTGCTACCTCTTGTTTTGTGGTATTAATCTTCCTATTATTCTTTGACTTCTCAGATGTTTGTCTCTCTTCCCTCACTCCACAAAGAGATTATAAGCTTTTGGAGAGATTCTGTCATATTCATTTTGTGCCCTCACAGGCCTAGGCAGATATTAGGCATGAACAAGGTTTCTGAGGACTTAAATATCATCAGCTAGACCTGGGCCTTGGCACCCACTACACCTCTGAGGTGCAGACAGCATGGTAGACCCGCATCTCACCTGACTCATCAGGAATGTTCTGTGCACAGGGACATGTGATGACTCAAACCTGCTTCTAAGGCAGCTATGAACCATGCCAATGGCTTCTTAGAGGGATCCGGGGGTTGGGGGTAGGGTAGTTAGTTATCACTCTATCAAGATAGCACAGACTCCTTCCACTGGAAATAACAACCATCGATGACTGCCATTTTCAACAGTGGAGAAAAAGCACCGATCTCAGATTCAGGCATGAACCTTTGGACCGAGCCATCCCTGAATCCTAACATTAACACCCACGGTCAGGATTTAAAAAACAAAACAAAACAAAAAACCTAGGCAAACACTGACCTGCTATAAAACACTTAACAAGAAGAGCTACTCTTACCCGAAGAACTTCAAAAGCTGACTGGACAAGGTCTGCGTCTCTACTTTTCCAGATCACTTGGTTCCCCATGAGAACGTGCCAGGCCAACATGCGAAAGGACGGGGCACCCAGGACCTGAAAAATACAATTCAGTGCTTTCTGCCCTGAATTTTCTTTTGTGCAACCAAAATTATTTGTGTGTTCTCTGTAGAGTGAAGGAAGATGGGTCGAAGAGAGGGAAGGGCAGGCTGACTTGCCCGTGGACAGGAGGAGGCAGGTGGAGGCCTCTGGATGAGCACCTGGAAGCCCGATCCCAAAACCCTGGCACACTATAAGATCTTTGCCCCAATTTTATTTTTAAAAACTTGAAGCAGAAGGGGCGCCTGGTGGCTCAGTCGTTAAGCATCTGCCTTCAGCTTGGGTCACAATCCCAGCGTCCTGGGATTGAGCCCCACATTGGGCTCCCCGCTCGGCCAGGAACCTGCTTCTCCCCCTCCCACTGCCCCTGCTTGTGTTCCCTCTATAGCCGTCTCTCTCTCTCTCTCTCTGTCAAATAAATAAATAAAATCTCAAAAAAAAAAAAAAAAAACAAATTTGAAGGAGAAAATGTGTTAGCTATTTGCAACATTCACTTTCTCTCTCTATATATACCATTTTGCCGAATCACTTCAAAGTAAGGGACAGGCAGCATGACACTTCAGGACCCAGGAAGGACAAGGGCTCTCCTACAGAACCCCAGTACACACCACCCCCAGAAACACCACACAGATGTGCCATCAACCCAGTATGCGCAGCCCCAAATCTCTAACAATGTCCTTGATAGCTGTTTTCTTTCAATCCAGGAGTCCCTTAAGGATCAAAGACTATTTCATTTATTCTGCTGTCTACCCCGTTTTATGCCAGAACAGTCCCTCTGTCCACCTGACTCTTTATAACTTCTCTGACACTGGAGTTTTTGGGGAGTTCAGTCTGTCATCCTACGACTTATAAAATGGCTTTTTTAAAAAAAGGGGGAGGCCAGAAATATTACGTTTTGCAAAACTCCTACAGCTTCAAAATACCCCCACCTCCCCTGGGATTGAAGATTCCTTCTAACTTTAATCCACGTAAGCAACCGACAAGGATGATTTTAGCCAAATACACGATTCTGGTGGGTGAATGTTCCTCATTCAGAAGCCCCACAGAGCATCTGCCGTTAAATCAGTCTTTACTCCATTTTTCGAAACAGAAATAACTATCTTTTGTTAAAACTCATGTTCATTGTAAACGTAATCACAGAAAAAACATAAAAAGGGACTGCCCTTGTAATCCTGTCGTCTCTTCTTCCTGTCCAACCAAACAGAACCACGGTCGACACTGTTGCGTGAGACTTGTCTCCAGCACGCATGTATATAAACACACATACCACCCTGTACAATATGTTGGATGCTCTCCTCTCTGTATTTAAGGACATTCCATTGTTTGGGTGCAATTCCTATGGTTGGACATCCAGATTCCTTCCAATTTTCTGCAAGAAGGGCCAGAATTTGCACTTTGCAAAGCGTCTAAGGCCGTACACAAACCAACAGTGCCACGAACGCATTTCCTTTAAAAGGTTCCAGCATGACAAGATCAGAGGACCACGAGAAACCAACCATGCAGGGCTTTCCGTATAAAAGACACCTATGGGGCGCCTGGGTGGCTCAGTTGGTTAAGCAACTGCCTTTGGCTCAGGTCATGATCCTGGAGTCCCGGGATCGAGTCCCACATCGGGCTCCCTGCTCAGCAGGGAGTCTGCTTCTCCCTCTGACCCTCCTCCCTCTCACGCTCTCTGTCTCTCATTCTCTCTCTCGCAAATAAATAAAATCTTAAAAAAAAAAAAAAAAAGACACCTACGTCACCACTAAAAGGGGAGCACTGCGCCTGTGGCCGAGATACCCCACACAGCCCCAGCTGTCTTTGGCCAGCCATCGAGGTTTTTTGGTTACTCCTAACCAATCAATCCCCACTGGGTCTGAACATCATGGGCCTAAAGGACAAAGTGTGCTGGATGAGAAGGAGGGGACTGGGCTCTTCTCCATGGTTTCTGAATGGGGGTCTACCCTCTGCCGCCTACCTGCCTCATGTGCCGAAGGGACTTAAAGACAGACAACTTTCGGGGCTGCCAGTTGCCACAGTCTGAGAGCAAGGAAGAATCTGTTGGGCACTTGGTCAGCTCCCGCCCCTCTGCACCCTCTGGCAAGACAGGGGCTTTCTCCTCCTCTTCAGCCTCGGAGTTGTCCCAGCTTTCGGATTCTTCTTCCAAGTCTGCAAGAGGGACAACAAAGACATTTATGAAACATGCCTTCATTCCCTGGATGCGACAGCATTGGGGTGTCCACTTTAGCCCAAGGCATTCCTGATTTCTGGTTTGGGCCAGTATCTATACCACTTGTCCTCGGAGCCTGGCGGGAAGCAGGGAGGGCTCAGTCTGTGTACTTATTTACTTAGCTCAAAGCCTCACACTACACTATGAAGCAGGCACCCACGAGACTATGAGCTGTTCGTGGTCGTGGGATAATTCAAAGCAACGACGAGAATGAGGGTAGCTCGTTCACTTCCCACTTCCCACTCAGGCACTATTCTAAAGGCTTCCACACATGATTTCACTGCCTCCTTTCAACCGTCCTGAGGTCAGTACTACGCTCCCCATTTTACAGAAAAAGAAATATTTGTTATTTCCATTAATCTCTGTGACAACCATCACAAATAAAGACATCTCCACTCCATAATCCAAGTGAGATCCACAGGGAAGAGGTCTTGTCTCGTCACAGAACGTGCGAGAGGAGCAGAGCCGGGATCTGAAGCCAGGTCTGTCCAAATCCAAAGTGTGTGCTCTGGACTAAAATACAGTCTAACACATGACAGAGAGCCCTGCGTGCCTGCATGTCTCTTTCCTAAAAGCTCTGATGTACTTGGCTCTCTCTAAATACTCTCACCAGCAGACTACCCTTGCCATCTTCACTAGCTTAGAAATTTGAAATCACAATAATAAATGGTTCTAGGGTCCGCTGATCCGCGAAGGCGTGAAGGTGGACCGCAAAGGTTTTGTCTTTCGGAGCATACTCTGCCCTCGCTGAAACCCTACTCCCTCTCTCCCACTCAGGAAAGCATGCTGGAATCCAAGTGCGTGCAAAGTCACCTGACTACAGGAATAACCTTGAAACAGCTTCAATTTATTAAGGCCAATTATCTGCACCCTGAAGCACATCAAGTGTTATTCGTAACACACCGCACACAATATACATCGCAAGTCTGGTTTACCCAACCCCAAAGTTGAGGCTGCTGACCTAGGTCACCAAGATTCAAATCATCTCCGAAGGAGCAGCTCAGCCAGGACTGAGACCATAGGTTCCTGGGCTGGTACACGCCGCAGCAGAATGCCCTGGGAAGTTACTTAAAACACAGGATCCTGAGCCCCAGATGTGGAGCTCTGATCAAAAACCTGGGGAGGACTACCCAGATATTGGTAAGGCTTGGGAACCACCCTTGATGGAAAACCCTGGGTCCACCTGAAGCCTGACATTTTATTGTTCAAGTGTCTAGAGAGGGCAAGCACCTGGGGCTCATACAACAGGGACAAGAAAACCTTCCATCAGTCCATCTTCCCCACAGCCTAACAGCCCTCAATAGCAGACTTTCCCAGGCTGCCCAGGGTGGTAGATTCCTTCATGTGACTGTCAAGAAAAAGGAGACAGGAAACCACAGTAAAAACACTAAGGCTAAAGGGCGAGCTCTTACAGATGCTCTTCCTGGGTTATTGATCCTAGGGTCCCCTTCAACGGGATGGAGGGCCGGGGGGGGCTGTGAGATGGGCCCCAACAGCCGCTGCAGGCAGAGGTGTCCAGCACAAGCACTCCCAGCTCACCTGCAAGCTTCTCCATCTGGACCAAGGTGTCCTCAGTGGGCGCGCCCTCCAGGAGCTTCTCAGTCAGCCGGCTGCCACACGCCTTCAGGAGCCTGGAGAGCAAAGCACCACCTATGATGTCTTCTTGCCACAATGAAAATGGAACCTTTTGATCAAAATCAAGCCTTTTGATCCACTAGTTCACAGAAAACATGGGTATAGGAGATCATGTTGCACACACCACAAAGTCACAATCAGCCAAATCCAAAAGGAGTATTCTAGAGGACAAATGACCCAGGTCCCCCAACAAAAGGCATGGAAAAATCTGTGGCAGAGGCATCGGACAAACTGCTCTAGACTAAGAACAGAACAAGGTGCATGCTGTGCAGTGATCTGATCCCATTTCAAAAATCAATCCTGAACAAGAAAACCGGAAAACTGAACACGGATCGGGCTGGATGATGCTAAGGAATTTGTCAATTTTGTTGGATATGGTTTTATGTTTGAAATGATACAACTAAGATCTGCTTTAAAAAAAACATTTCAGGGGGCGCCTGGGTGGCTCAGTTGGTTAAGTGTCTGCCTTCGGCTCAGGTCATGATCCCGGGGTCCTGGGATCGAGCCCCACATCGGGCTCCCTGCTCCGCGGGAAGCCTGCTTCTCCCTCCCCCACTCCCCCGCTTGTGTTCCCTCTCTCGCTGTGTCTCTCTCTGTCAAATAAATAAATAAATAAATAAATAAATAAATAAATAAATAAATAAATAAATAAATAAATAAATA